GGCGGTGTCCTCCCTGCCCCACGGGGGCCGCAGCCCCACGAGGTCACTGGTGTCCAGCTGCAGGCAGCCGAGGTGACCAATGTCCAGCTCCAAGCCTTGCCGCAAGCCTTGGAGGTAGCCAACATCCAGCTCCAAGCTGCCGAGGTGACGAATGTCCAGCTCCAAGCCCTGCCACAACCCTCCAAGGTGGCCAACATCCAGCTCCAGGCCAGTGAGGCAACCAATGTCCAGCTCCAAGCCTTGCCACCGCCCTTGGATGTCACCAACATCCAGCTTCAAGCTGCTGAGGTTACAAATGTCCAGCTCCAAGCCTTGCCACAACCCTTGGACGTCACCAACATCCAGCTCCAAGCCAGTGAGGTGACAAATGTCCAGCTCCAAGCCCTGCCACAGCCCTCCAAGGTGGCCACCATCCAGCTCCAAGCTCTGCCGCAACCCTCAGACATCACCAACATCCAACTGCAGGCCACAGAGGTGACAAATGTCCAGCTCCAAGCCCTGTCACAACCCTTGGACGTCACCAACATCCAGCTCCGAGCCCTGTCACAACCCTCTGAGGTCACCAACATCCAGCTACAGGCCACCGAGGTGGCAAATGTCCAGCTCCAAGCTCTGCCACAACCCTCCAAGGTGACCAACATCCAGCTCCAAGCCCTGCCACAACCCTTGGATGTCACCAACATCCAGCTGCAGGCCACTGAGGTGGCAAATGTCCAGCTGCAAGCCCTACCACAACCCTCTGAGATCACCAACATCCAGCTTCAAGCCTTGCCGCAGCCCTCAGAGGTGCCCGGTGTCCATCTCCAGGCCATGGGGGTGCCCAGCATCCATCTCCAAACTACAGAGGTGTCCAACATCCATCTCGAAACCAGTGAGGTCCCCAGTGTCCACCTCCAAACTACGGAGCTCCCCAGTGTCCATCTGGAGTCCACAGAGGTGCCCGATATCCAGCTGCAGGCCGTGGAGGTGCCCAACATCCAGCTGCAGACCACAGAGGTGCCCAGTGTTCATCTGGAAACCACTGAGGTGCCTGATGTCCATCTTGAAGCCACTGAGGTGCCCAGCATCCATCTCCAAGCCACTGAGGAGCCCAGCGACCATCTCCAGACCATGAAGGTGACCGATGTCCACCTGCAGGCCACCGAGGTGACCACCATCCGTCACCAATCTGTGGAGGTGCCCACCATCCATCTGCAGGACGCAGAGGTGGCCACTGTCCAGCTGCAAGCCACTGAGGTGCCCACCATCCATCCCCAAACCACAGATGTGACAAATGTCCATCTCCACACTACAGACATGCCCAGTGCCCATCTCCAGACCACTGAGGTGCCCAGTGTGCTTCACCAAACCACCAAGGTGCCCAGTGTCCATCTCCAAGTCATGGAGGAGCCCAGCATCCATCTCCAGACCACAGAGATGACCAGTGTCCATCTCCAAGACACCGAGGTGTCCAGTGTCCGTCACCAATTAGTGGAGGGACCCAACATCCGTCTCAAGGTCACGGAAGTGCCCAATGCGCAACTGAAGACTATGGAGGTGACAGATGTCCATCTCCAGGCCACTGAGGTGCCAAACTCCTGTCACCAAGTGATGGAGGTGCCCAGCATCCAACTCAAAACTGGGGGGATGCCTAACGTGCATCTCAAAACCACGGAGGTGCCTGATGTCCAACTGAAGAGCACAGAGGAGGTGCCCAATATCCAGCTCAGGACCGTGGAGGTGCCCGAAGTCCAACTCAAGACTGTGGAGGTACCCAGCATCCAACTCAAAACTGTGGAGGTGCCTGATCTCCAGCTCAAGACCATGGAGGTCCCCAGTGTCCAACTTAAAACCGTGGAGATGCCCAGCGTCCAACTCAAGAGCGTGGAGGTGTCCAAAGCCCAAATGAAAACCGTGGAGGTGCCCAACATCCAACTGAAGACTGTGGAGATGCCCAATGTCCAACTCAAGACCGTGGAGGTGCCCAATCTCCAAATCAAGACCATGGAGGTGCCCAACGTCCATCTCCAGGCTGTGGAGGTGCCCAACATCCAACCACAGCCCCCCGAGGTGCTCGTGGCAGGGGGGAACCTGTCCCCCTCCCTGTCGCCACGCCTGGCGGTGGTGGGGACCACCAGGGGGCTGCCCACCGTGTTGCTGCTGCGGGGGACTGGGGGGAGCTCTGCCCACCTCTGCCTGCAGGCCC